CCAATCACAAATTCAATTGGGCCATTAACTACATGTAATATTATTTACCTAACTGGCCCTTCTGGATTATTTCATAACTCAAGTTTATAACCTTTTTAAAAAAGATCAATACTACTGAGCACACAGCCTCTGAGCATGACAAAGAGTCAGGCTGTTTTAGCAGTTACGGTCCATGATTTCCAGACCTGGAGTCCAGAGTAGAAATGCAAAATGAGGAAAATACTCTCCCTGAAATACTAAAAAGAAAAAATAACCTTGGAGAGAAGGATGGAGGGAAGCAGTGAAGTAAGATGTGTTGTAAGAGATCAGTTCTTTTATTGGGCTGATACAACTAGAAAATACAGGCAGGCTTTCCAGCACACAAACCCTTCTGCAGATCTGAGAGAGAAGCTGTAGTGACATTTAAAGCCACACACACAGTTTTGCCAACATGTGTCAGAGCAAATCTCCGGGAGGAGGGAACAACCAACAGCTCTATTTGCAACTTGGCAGATGGGGTGTTTTGCTGTCTGCTCTCATGTGTGATGTGAGTTGGGTGCTCGTACTGCGTCCCGTCAAGTGGGAAAGGTAGCTCTCATCTGTTGATCTTGTGTTCAAGATCCAGTATTTGATTTGTTCCTCAGGTAGTCAGATGCTCATACCAGCTCTGATATCTAAATTCAAATCCCCTACAAGTCTCTGCTGCTTCCACTACACAGGGAGCTCAGCAATCAGGAGCAATGGTGCTTTTCCACCTCTTAATCAGCATCATGAAAAGTCAAATGATGATAAAAGCGAACGAGAGCCAGGAAGGTCCTATTTTATAATGGGCCTAGTGACTACCTGGATGTAAACTGGCACTGGCTCCCACCCTGTCAGTTATACTCACCCCATTTCATACAGGTCACTCTGATTCCCCTGAGACAGCGGCATGCGGGAGTGTGTTGTGCATGTAAAGAGGGAAATGAGGGATGGTTCAACTGCTAACAGATCCTAAAAAAATTTGTAGTGAAAATTCATGACATTTTTAGTGGCTAAAGGCAGTGCTGCTGAGTGACCTTTGCCTGTCTGTCTTCATTAACCGCATCTCTAACTAACGGCTACTATCCAGTGCTCCTGCCCTGCTCTTCTTTCTCCTTGCCCTCTCCTCACTGCTTCTTACACATCACTCAGGCTGCCCTCCTTGCCTTTTCCTGTGCTACCGCACATCACTCTAAACTTTGTGCAATTTTCATTATGTTCTCTGTCTGACAGGAAACATTAGAAAGGAAAGCTAATTTTCGTTCTTTCTGTTGTCTCTTCCCCCTTGGTGCTGAAGCGATCTCTGGTTCACCTGGGCATGATACATCAGTGTGATGAACTGATCATTTGGTATCGTCGTGATCCAGGGTGGGAGACGCGCAAGGGCGCTGAGGACAGTGCAGTGTCTGTAGAGTGTGCTGACTGTAGATTTCATACAGGCACGTATAAAGCCATTTTTTAGTTCTCAGCAAAAGCCATTGTTTTCAGCCCTTGACTGAAGGAATACCATTCCCTTGTGATTGTAACATGTCCATCTCAAGAGTCCAGTCCAAAAGCAGCAGCAGGAGGTCCCAACAAACCCACTTCTGGCAGCTGATGCCATTTCACTCTTCAGAGTGAAAAAAGTGGCCCTGTTGATGCAGGGGATAGATACGTCTGAAATGAGTGTTGGAAGATGCAGAGAAATTTTTGCAGGGATAGAAAAAAACATTTTGTGTTATTAGACAAAGTAATGTGGCTGGAAACCTTCCTTTCCCAAACCAGACAAGCTGTTTCTGCCAGGTATGGCTGCTTTTCAGGGCTCTGAATTTCTGTGCCAGGCAGCATAGAAGTGGTGTCAGGCTGAAATGGCTTAAAGAGTTGGACTAATAATTCAGGGGGAAGGGCGACCCAACTGAAGAGAGGTGACAGAGCCCAAATTGAGTGGTAAGTCCTCTTCACCTTATCTTGTGTAGTTTACTGTGTGGTTCTCTTAGTTTTTCTACACCTGTTTGTGCTGCAGGTATCACCATTGCATTAGCCAGTCATTGGATATCGTCTGATGCATCTGCAATTGGGCATAGACTGGAAAAAAATTTTCTTGGCCCAAATATTAACTCAAGTAGCAGAAAATGCCTCTCTGTGAAGAGAATTCGTATGGAAAACATGCTTTTTCAGGCTCTCTGCACAGATTCCAAAATTTTAATGTGACTATGTTCCTATTTTTGCTACTTATCAAGTACTTCATTGTTTCTTCTCTCTAGGCACCTAGGAATTGCCTGCCTCTTTTCTTACCTGGATTTTATGGATATTTTTGTCATTTTTTAACTGGTAAGCAGGAGACAGTACCACTGTAGGACAAACAAGTGGTCTAAGGTCCACCAGCATTGTCTGTTTCTTTCCCCAAGAGATGCTGCCTCCAGGAGGCGGGTGGTATCAGGAAGCGACAGCTAGAGAGCAGTGATCCTTGGGCTCATTCATTCCACCTACATGTTTGACTGATGCCCTGTTAGCCAATTTTGGAAGAGAAAGACATCAGGTTTGGAAGGTCCATCTGTAATTGTGCTGGATCTCAGGCTGAGGGCTGGCTCAACAGCTAAAGCTTTTGCTGAAATCTTCCATGTAATCCAAGCAGACATGTATTTGTTTTCATACTGCATGCTATCACTTCCAAACCCAGTCAGCAGTGTGTGTTTGTGAGACTACGTAGAGGATGGCATGAGAAGAATTCAGGGCAAATCATTCATTTTGTGAGTCTTTCCTGTTTGGTTTTATTGCAGCAGCTTCTGTGCTTGAAGTATTAACAAAATCTTTCTTGGACTGGGTTTGTAATGGGAGATGAGATCTCACTGAGAAATTAAGATATCTGAAGCTTTCTTTTCGTTCTACAAAATTGTTGGAAAGGAAAGGGATCCAATTCTGGCATGATGTTTCATAAGGTGACATTTGTTACAACTCACTGCAAATGTTACTCACCATCTACAAAAAATTCAATTAAACTGAAGAGCAGTGAAAAATACCCAGTTCCACTTCAGCAGCTGTGCCTGTCACCAGAATCCCTCAATTTTCTTGGAGCCAGCAAATTCCCCCCTGGAGACCTCCACACAGTGGCTGCTGTCCTCTGCCACCAGTCCCACCGGTTGGTGCTCCCCGCTCCTGTGAGCCAGATTGTCACACAAGGACAAAATTTCCCTTCCCATTTGGGCTTATCCTTACTTTCCCAAAGATCTCTTTGGTCCTTACGTGTTATCAGACTTGTTCTGTGTCCTTTTGTGTCTTGTCACTATTTCAGTGGGAACTGGCCAGACCCTGCAGGGATAACATTTTCAAAAACAAAACTTGAAAAATGACCTGTGATCCGTAGTCCTTTTGAAAATCAGAGTAGTTAGTTATACATGTAGTTTATTGAGACTTCAAGCTCCTAAGTCACTTGAGATTGTTCCTTAGTTCCAAAAGTTTTAGTGGCATAGTATGTCCGTAGAAAATCCAATATATTTGTGACAGTTTCTATTCAGAATATAGGTCCTTTTGCCTCTAACGCCTTTGTGTGTGTCTTCAGGTTGAAGCCTGTGTGCAGAGAGCTGTAACTCTGGAAACGTAACAAAAACTTTTCTCGTACTTGTAGGAAACCAGGGTACTAAGAGAGCACATTTTTTGAGATGCCAAACTCGTTGTTACAGATCTCTGGCTCCCCAGGAAATTCGCAGATGTAACTTTGCTGTATGCCACAACCACCCACTATTTTGCAGTGTCAGCTGGGCTGGAGCTCAGATCCACCCACTCCCACCGCACCAGGCCCGTTGCACCGGAGCTGAAGGCAAAATGGAAAAAATCGGCTCTGCTGAACAGGGTTGCCTTATGGCACGCAGTGGGATGGGAAAAACAGAACCCATGGCGTCTCACTCCTGGTTCGGCACCTGAACCACAAGACCCTCCTCATTATCTCTTTATCAAAACCTCCTCTTTTCCCTGGATAGGGCACTAAAATGGAACAAAACTCTGGCTAATTTGCTGCAGGAGACTGTTGAGCTTTGAGCAAGGAGATGGAATAAGTCATCTAATTAGTCACAGCTGCTGGTGTCCCCTGGTCCTGATTTGGTGTGGTTTATCAATGCCAAACAGAGCCAGATAAGCATAGCTCCTTTTCTTTTTATGTGTGAATGCCTGTCCAGCCCATGTTTCCTACAACTTCAGTCACCTGCTAGGCTCTTTGAGCGGTGGGAAGGAACAGCAATTCATTCAGTTTGTTACACTTGTTCCAGGGCAGGATTTACTTCTTATTTTCTTAGACCGTAAACAACATCACTGCCTCTGGAGAGCAACGGCAGTGGTTTTCTACATCAGCCTGTCTTTAGGTCCTATTTATAAATGAGGAGAGTGAGAAAAGACGTTTAAAAACACGAAAGCTTTAAAAATAAAACAGTGACCTAAGTCAAAGAGTAAACATTAGAGAAAAATAAAAACCTATTTTAAGAGATGGAAGCAGAGAAGAAGGGGCAAAAATAATAAAAATAAATCTTACTGCTGTAAATAGGAGTATGTAAATCAGCAGCTCCCATCACTGACAGTTCAGAGATGCTGAGGATCTGGCTCAGCAGTGAAAAAGGAGAGAAGTGAAAAAAACGTTGAGCAGGAAATAAAACAAAGATGAGAAATCTACCTATTTGCACATGCAATAGATTATCCATAAACAACAAGATCATGCCTCTGACCAGATAAAAGAAATCAATGGCATAGTGTTTAAAACAGATTTAAAAATATACTATCTGTCATTCTGCATACCTCTTCTAAGCAGCAGCATAACTTTTATTTTTTCAGGTAGCCTTTTAATGTGGGGTTGCTCAGGGGGTGTTGCAATCACTATGCTGAGAATAAAACAGCCTAAAAAGGGATCGGAATCTTCTACCTCGATGGACCTTTGGAAATTTGTCCCCTGTGAGGAACAGGCAGGGGTTGCTCATCTGTTTTGTCACTTATGCATGCTTCTTCTTCCCCCGTAGGTTGCCCGGTCACTATGAACAATGGCCCAGCTATACTACAAAAAGGTAAACTATTCACCGTACAGAGATCGGATCCCACTGCAGATCGTGCGAGCGGAGGCAGAGCTGTCGGCGGAAGAGAAGGCCTACCTCAGCGCTGTGGAGAAGGGGGACTATGCCAGTGTGAAACATGCCTTGCAAGAGGCAGAGATCTACTACAACATCAACATTAACTGTATGGATCCTCTTGGTCGCAGTGCCCTTTTAATAGCCATAGAGAATGAAAATTTGGAGATCATGGAATTGCTTTTGAGCCACAGTGTGTACGTGGGAGATGCTCTGCTGTATGCAATACGGAAAGAGGTGGTGGGAGCTGTGGAGCTGCTGCTGAATTACAGGAAGCCGAGTGGTGAAAAACAGGTTAGTTGGGTGTTCCAGTTCAGTTTTAAGCTATTATCCTGCGTTAGGAAAGTGGTACTGCACAGAGAGGTGCTGTGCAGGAGTCATAGAACAAAGCAGGTCCATTGCTTTAAATGCCCAGAGTAGGTGTGGGCAGTCCTGTTTGGATGACAACTTTCCAGTCTGAGCAAACATGTTCTGCCTGACTTAAATACTCAGCATTTTCAATTTCACTCAATGTTCTTTTCAGTCTTACAGTGTTTGTGAACATACTGATTTATAGGTTGATTTATAGACGCACACTTTGTAAAGGAATTTGGGGCTGTCTGAAATTATATTACAATCTATAAATATGAACTATTGCCATGCTGTTGTACTGGTATTAAGTGAAATTGCTTTTCATAAGTAAATCCTGAAAGCACACAAGCTTATAAATAACTGTAAGCAAGCAAGCAGTCTGCTAGGTTTCAGTACTTAGCCATAGTACAGACATATCATCTTGGTCCCCGTCTCCAGAGAGCTCCAGTTCAGAAATGCTGAGGCAGTGCATAACGTTACAACATGAGCTAAGCTGCTATATATCTGAGCAACGAACAACTATGACTTGTAGGAAGGGTCCTTAGGTACAAAGCCAGCAGTAAATTACATAAGGATCTTTGTGAAAAACCACGAAGTCTGAATCCTGTCACTTCAAGTGTCACATATCACCCTGTCCCTAACTTTTTCTTTTTTGCTTCTTTTCATTTGCAAGTACTACTGCCAGTAACAAGAATAGTTTATATACATTACTGACCACTGACAATTTTTGCACATTCACTGCTTAGAAAGGAACATTCAAAACTTGGATAATCTTTATATATCAAGCCTCGTTTTGAAGTCTACTTGAACATATCCCTCTGTGTGCGAAAGAGAAAAATAATTAATACTGGTCAATCATTGAAGAAAATTTTTTCGATGGATAGGCTCCTTAGTACATAGTTTTTCAACAGTAATTTTATGTAGCCAAAGTAAACAATAAGGATCATCCCTGACAACATTCAAGAGTTCTCAGCTTAATACTTAGAAATGGCAGCATTTTGCATGCTGTAGCAATGTGATTCTAATGTGTGGTTTAAGCACTAGAGAGATGAAGAATCTCTTCTATCAGACCTAAAAATTGAAACGTTAGTACTAGGTTTTAGTCTGACAAAATGTAAGTAGCAAAATATGGACCACACACGGAGAAACAGCCTTTTTTTCCTTGGTCCTTTAGAAAGTTTGACCATCCTATAGGAAGTAGAATGGAAGAAAAGGTTTTTTCAGTAGCATGAGGAGCTGCCAGCAATTATTGCAGGTTAATGACAAGTTTCTCCTGAAATGTCATGGAAAGCAAGTGATGGGATTCAAGTGGATTTCCGTAAGATCTCTTGAATACCAAAACTTGCGTCCACTCAAATTCACAGCTTTGCTGGCTTAACTGAGCAGAGACAGAGGTCCATGAAATAAGGTTGATTTATTGCAGCTGAAATTCAGCTCCAACATCTCTCCAGTTCAGTGATACATTTCATAGTAGCTCTGTTTCATTTTTTCTTATCTCTCTGTCAGCGTGCAGCTATCCTTCTGTAGCTAGGTTTGTATCTGCTGCAAATTTTACAACTTGAAGGAGAACATGTGTGTGGGAGAAGAGATGCGGTGCCAGTTTCAGCTTTATTTACAAGGTTTGTTACAAGACCAGATTTCATCAGTACGTTTTAGACTAGTACTGGCTTGATGCAAGATCCTATGTACAAACTAGGATTAACTTCCCTGGCTGTAGGTCAGGCTCTTCTGTAGACTGCAGGAAGTGTTTGCTGGTAGACGGCTGCAGGACTGGACTTCCATTTCAGCAGTTTCTCTGGTTGTTCATGCAGTGATGGTAATTAACATTTATTTCATGTATAGTGATATTAAATGGAAGGAAGTGCTTAGTTAAGCAAAGCTGGCACAAAGTTGGTTAGCTTGTCAAATCACAAAGCTAATATAGGAAGGGTTTCTGAACACAAGTTCCTGATGCTAATTCCACAGCATTATTGATATACATTCAGTAATTATCTTTGCTGGACCCTTTCTCAGAAAGTCCTTTGGGAATCCCATACCTAATTGCTTTCACAAAAATCCCCTGATAAATCAGGTTAGCATAGCTTTGTTCTAATCAGCTACTTATATGTTCTAAAACATATAGAAAACCTGCTTTTTTGGTTGAGTAGTAACAAAAATTCACACTTTGCGGAACGGTTTCTGTGTGGCTGAGAAATTTGTAAGATAGTGTCGCAGCACTTCTTATATATAAGGTTTAGTATAATGTATTCATTAAATGTACACAAGGTTCAGTTTGCCTGAAGAAACCTGTGTGAAGGCAGCTCCTTGACTTGTGTGTCGCAGCCTGTTTCCAATTAGGGGCTGTCTGTTTGTCTTTGCTGCACTCCAGGCAAAGGTGCAGAAGCATCTTCTGATTGCTCTCTCTTCAATGTTCAACACATCGCCTTCATTCATCCGAGTCTGGGGTCTGTGAAAACCTATGAGTTCCCATTTTCCTGCCGTCTGCCTCTGAGAGGTTATTATTTGACTCTATACCAAAGTCTTGTTTCTCTAATTGCCAGGCATGAAGAGCTGTTCTTATTTGCGTCTGTTCACGTCAGCTCAGTTAATTGTTGTCTTTGCATCTCAAAAGCAGCTGAGTAGCATCATTCAGCATAATCCATTTTATGGGCATGTATCTGTGCTCATTCCCACAACCTTATCATCATACCACAATCCTGCATTATGCCAGCCTCTTGTGGGGTTACAGTGACTGTGTCTAGTTAGCAAAAGATACACCCAAACCAAAGTAGAAAACCGTGGCCCCTTATAGACATGACCTGCAAAGCAGTTTTGCTCACCAGCCATGGAGTCTCTAAAAGGTGATGTGTCCTGGGCAGGCTCCATACCTGTCTCTTGAGAGCTGCCCGAGGGGAAGAGCTCTGCTTTTCCCCTGTATGATGACCTTTCCAGGGAGCAGAAGTAAAAAAACTTTCAAATATAAGAAGTGACCTTTGTTGTGTTCCTTATGTAAGAGAATCAGAGTCTCATTCATGATGTAAGGGACAGGGAGAAATGGATGAAGAGATTGGGCAGCAGAGATGCTTGTGTTGTGTTATTAAGTGAATGCAGGCAGTCATTATTCCGCAAACCTTTGCCAGACTGCTGTTTAAAGCGCCATTTACTGAAAATACCATGACAATGGCAGGGGTAAGTCATAGCCAGTAACTATAACAACACGCTTCTCCCGCACTGCAGCCGTGTGTGTAAGCGGTGTCTCGGGAGAGGAAGAAATTACTCTGTTTACACGTGGAGCGTACAAGAGCCAGGAGCATGAACCACCTCTCTCTAACAGCTGCTACAAAGCACATGATAGATGAGTGTGCTGAACAGTGATGTGTTCAAGTAGATGTATTTCCTTTTAGATTTACCTCCAAGCAAGGTTCACAGTTTTAAGAACTTAACATTTCTCCTCCAATCTGTTCTGCCAGGTCCTGCTAACTTACAGCCATGGTTTTGTGTACTGCTCTATGAGACTCTTGATAAGGCTGAGGAGAAGATTACACCATTTACAGCCAGAATAACTCTATGGCTAATAAAGTCACGGCTGTTTTTAAAGATATTGTCACCTATGGGAGATTTTGGGTTCAGTGGGAGAGTCATCACGGTGCAAGCATCTTACTTTTGCTACCCTGGGAAGACCATAGAGGTGTGCTGGTGTGCTTCACTCCCAGCAAAGAGTAAAGCCCAGGTTTTAAAGGACCGATTCTCTTCTTCAGATTAGAACTAACCTCTCCTCAAATATGCCACAGCACTTTCTGAGGTGCACTCTCAGTTCTAGTTTTTCCACTGTCAGGGTGCAAGTGTGGTCCAGAGTGCGACGGAAGATGCCTGTGCGCAGAGCGTGCGATGCTGCAGGCTGCGACAGCCCTGCCCACCCACGGCAGCGTGGGTGGGAGCTCTGCTGACCTCAGTGGGACACGGTCTGGACCCGGCATAGCGCTAGGAGCTGAATTCTCAGGGAAATAAAAGAAAATTTAATTAACTACTCAAAATAGATTAAGTAACAAAAGAGCTCTTCTAGTTCTGTGATTTTTACAAGTTCACTTGTTATTTCCAAATGTTATGTAATTCACTCCAATTAATCCTCCAAGCTTTTTTTTTTTTAAAACCGTAGTTCGCTTTGGCCTGTCACTTTGTATTGCTGAAATCGTAAGATTGTTTTTCCCCAAATAGGTGACAGACATTTGGAAAGCAAGCAGCCTATTCATGAATATTAAGAGGAACAACAAAACAAACTAATATTCATGGAACCTGGAGGGTATGCAAGTGTTGCTTTTCCTGCGGAGATTTCTAGTCAGTGAATATGTATTCTGCAGGAAATAAAAGTGAGCCTAATCTGGTGCTTTGATAGCTATTGTTTGCTTTTCAGGACAGCGAAGAGGCTGGTACTGTATTGCATAGTGGCAGAAGAGTAGCATCCATGGACTGCAGACTGCTTGGCATGGCAATCCATACTCGGGTCTTCCACACAATGAGTGTCATGTTCCTTAAAAAAGAGGACAAACCACTGAAACATCATCAGAAAGAGTGGGGCTAGGTTACAAATAGTAAAAACCAGCACACACAGATGCGGTATTGACTTGGGCCCAGGCTTATCGAATCAGGCATCTCATCTCTTTTGGGGTAGGAGTGTTAAACTGCAAAGTTGTCTGTGCACAGGACAGGTCGAATACATACAACCGCAAAACAAGACTTTTTGTACTATTCGATAGGTACGTGTCAAAAACGGAGATCTGGCTGGGGTCCTATAGAGTTGGAATTAACAGGGAACTTGAAATTACTAGGAGCAAGGAAATGTATATATGAAGCCTGTTGGAACAAATTCTCTTTTCCAGTAAAATCTTCTGGCTCCCAACCTATTAGATCTTTGAGTCGTGGCATTTTTTTACCTAAAAGTCATATCAGAAATTTTTTTTACTATA